AAGTCAGTGTCGGAGCTGGGGCTGTCACAGAGGAGACCCCAGGCCCGTTTCCTTGCTCAGGCAAGGGAGAAAGCGGCAGGGAACAACAGTACCCCAGGCAGGCAGGGCCCAGACGACTCCGCAAGGGTTTTCAAGGCCCCTCCAGCAGACACGGCAGGTTCTGGAGGGACCCGCACAACAGCAATACCTCCCAGGAAGGAGGACAGGGCATTGCTGCGGACAGCTCGCGATGACCATCAGCTCCATGCTCAGCAGCCATCAAGAGGCAAACCAAAGCTTAGGGATGACTACAAAGGGCGAGTATCGTGTGGCCCTTCGTAAATCCACGGTGGAGCCACACCTTGAATACGGCGCCCTGTGCTGGTCCCTGCACCTCTGAAAGGAGAGAGGAGAAGTAGAGAAGGTCCAGAGAAGGGCAGCGAGGAGCATGAGTGCTAAGGAGGCACTTGTGCATGAGGAGAGACTGCAGAGGCCAGGCCTGCTCCGTTCGGAAAAGGGGAAACAGGAGAAGGTTTGCAAAATATGAAATGGCAAAGAGAAAGTCAACAGGGGCTGGTTATTGCAAGAAGTAGGTATCATGAAATGAAACTAGTAGGTTGTCAGTTTAAAATGAACCAGGGGAAGGTCTTTTCCACCCAGCATGCCATTCACATCTGGAATTCGTGGCCACCAGATGTGGTGGAAGCTGACAGTGTAGCCGGGGACTGGACACATGCGTGGAGGAAAGGGGCATCGGTCACCATTGAGCAGGAGTGAGGGGCACGGCCTCTGCATCAGAACAGCCTGGACCTGAAAGGCTGGAGGCTCCAAGGGAGAGAGGAGCAGGGGAAAAAGCCCTGCTCAGGCCCAGTTTGCTCCCTTCCGGCCTCCGCTCTCTGCCGCCGTGTGACACAGCATGGGCAACATGGACCTGGGGTCCGATCCGGCGAACGGCAGTTCCTATGTTCTTAGGTACATCCCGGGGTGAGAGCGGCTCTGGCATGTCTTGCAGCCGGCGGGGATGCGCCGGCTTCCTGGGCCCAAAGAGGAACGGCGCTGTGCCTCCGAAACCTGCGGAGGAACGTGGCAGGGGTGGGGTCCTCCGTTTCCTCGCCTGCAGGACAGGGGCTGCGAGGCTCTCAGAGGCCTTGCAAGGCCTCAGGTGCAAGAGCGACCAGCCCACAGCCCTGCCCTGTGTCCTGCAGCTGCCCTGCACGCTAGGCACTACTTCCCTCCCCGGAGATGGCAGGCGAATGCCAACCCTCGTGTTGTCATAGAAACCCGGCGCCTGCCTGCCATGCACCAGGGACGGCAGTGCTGCTGAGGCGGGGTGGGATGGAGCCCCCCAGGCCGCTCTCCCCAGGCTCTCTGGACCAGAGGAGCAGGTCAGAGATCTGCCCCCCGAGCCCTGGAGCTGAGAGCAGGGAGAGAGACAGCTCAGCCCCAGGCCGCCCGCATTAACTCCTTGCATCCCCGGAGGCCTGCTATAAATAGCCTGGCACAGCCCAGGCAGGAGCTCCTTGGAGGGGACAGATTGGATTTCGTTTGGTAAAACCAGGGGCTGCGACAAGCACCTGTTGCCATGGAAGTGGCTGCGATGGTATCCAAAGGGTGACCTCACTGCAGGCGGGCAGAGCCAAGCCCTGGCTCCAGTGACAAGAGAAAGGCAAGGGGGAAGGGTACCGAGGCACCCCCAGGGCTGACCTGCTTGCTCATCCTCCCCTGCTGAAGTCTCTTCTGACCTTCCTCACCCCTCCGGGAGCCAGGAGCGGAGTCCTTCCCACTGCCACCCCGTCCCAGGCTGGTGCCTCCGCAGCCAAAGCCTCTGGCTGGCACTGCCGGGTCCTGGGTGCTCCCAGCTATCCCTGTATTTATCAGCATCTCTCTCTACCTGGACTGAGTGCCAAGCAGCTCTAAAAGGTTATAAATCTTTTAATCAATCCAAACTCCCTCGCCTGCCCTTCGCGAGTCCAAGCAGATGCCAAGCAGAGATTTCCGCTGATTGCAAGGTAAAGCAAACAGCCCAGCGGCCTTCTTCCATTATCCTCACTTCCACGCCATTGCATTGGCTCTTTGCAAGGTTTTAGCACAGGGGAAGTGCTGCATTGAGTGCTGAGGCCAGGATGAAGCGGTGCCAGGTTGCGTCCACCTGGAGGAGCGCGGCGCCTCCGCTGAGCTTTTCAAGAAGACATAGTACTTCTGAGCAAAATCAACACAACCCGTGATGAACCGCGCTGGAGCCAGCCCCGTCAGCTGCACAACTCACTTCCATTAAATCCGTGCGGCGCTGCCTGCAGCCAAAGCAGCCGCAGGCAGTCATCCACACAGGCCCCGTACCGCCAGGACTCCTCCCCTCGCCCGGCCAACGGCACCTGGATATGGGTATCACCAGTGTGTGCCACGGCCCTCTCCAGGGCAGCAAGGCTTGCTCGGCCACGTGCATCACACCCAGCGATGCTGCGAGGCCAAAGCTTTGTCTGCTGCACAGGGCACCTGCCCCAGGTGTTGCAGGTCTGTCTCAGCAGCCTAAAGGCTCTCGCCCCACCTCTGAGAGGGTGCTGGAGTTACTGATGCCTGCTTGCAATATCCCTGTCCTTGGATGGAGGTTGCAGGCAGCATCCTTGCCCCAGGCTGAAACAGCCTCTGCACTGCCAGGAACTCTGCACGGGGGAAGGGGCCACGCCACAGCCACGTGTTGCAGCCTGGCACGCTCTCTTCTCCAGGACCCAGCCCCTCCACACTTCCACAGGCTGCCTGACCGGGGTGATGCCGGGCAGCACCTTTTCTATCATGCAGCAGAGAGAGGGATGAGGAGGACCAATGCCCAAAGCTGCCGCGAAGTAAGTTTGGATTGGAAATCCGGAAAAAACACCCTCGCTGCCAGAGCAGGGGGCAGCGCAATAGATGCCAGGGAAGTGAGGGGGGGATCTCCATCACTGGAAGGGTCAAGGGCACCGGTGCGGGACGATCTAGGTGCACTGCCCCCTTTGTGCTCCATGTGTCAGCGGGGTTGAGGTATCCAGGCCATATTGGTCTAGAGGAAAGTGGCAGAGGTAGATTTCTGCCAAAAAAAATAATTCCTGAATTGCGAGCTGTCGGGCAGGGGGGTGGGGGGCGCAGCGCTTGCCGCAGAGGCGCTGGGAGGTCCGGCTGCGGCCGGGGCAGGAAGGCATCAGCCGGGCACGGGGCCGTCCGGCAGGCGGGGATGCCCGGGGCAGGGCTGCGCCGG